CTTTCATTTAAACAATGTACATTTTCTTATATTAGGAAGTGTATGTTCTAACCACACATTTTTAGGGTTTTTACAGGTTTCACCAAGTCAAATTTAAGACTTGTTTAGACCTTTTTAAGACCATTATTAATTACATTTCACACAGGGCAAAACACTATGGATTTAATTGTAGTAGCCAGTGGAAAAGATTTTGATTTGCCCTATTAAATTTTTAATTTAGTTATTTCTAAGCCAGATATTTTAAAACAATAATTGTCAAAACAAGCATACATATACATTTCAGCATAACTTTTCTTTAAAAACTATAATAAGCTAGAATATGCACAACAGTCTGTCAAGAAACCATGTTGGTAAATACATTCAAAAATGGCTTTTGCTGCTTGTTCAAACTAATTATTTAAAATGCGTTAAAGCAACACAATTCTTAAAGAGCATATTGTAGGTTAGACACCCCATTTATACTTTTCCAAAAAAAAGGTAGATGGGATTTTCTCCAATATACTGCCTATTTGTGATCAGTGCTAATCAGAAGAAGCTGATTTAGCTCATAGATTTGTATTCTGTCATAAAATACAGAGATTCTGGAATGAAGTTTTTAAAGTGTTTTCAGATGTCCTTGATCCACATAGATCCTGACCCAGTGCTTATTATAGGACATTATAATTATACAAATTCATTGAGCACTGCACAACAGAAATTCCTTATATTATACTTATATAACAAATGAGGAGTTTGATAACAGCCAAAAAGCTATTGGAAAAATGTTAATCCTTGAACTGCTATAGCTTAAAACATATACTCTGCACTTGGAATGAACCAGATGTCTTTTAAAAGGCAAATTTGATAATTTCAGAAGATTTGCAACCATTTCTTTTGTCACTTCATGGGAAATTCTTTTCCCCAAAAGCAATGTTGTAACTAAAAAGTTGTTTTAATTATCACTGTATATTGTATACTTGGGGTTGTGTTTTGTTTTTTTGTTTATGCATATCAGAAAATTATTCCTGGCATTTGTGATTATTGTAAGTCTATTTAATGACCAAAGAAACTTATTTGACAAAAAAAAAGGTTCTTTGATGAAAAACCACTCCTTTGGAACCTTTAATTTTAACAGGGCACATTTTCTTATATTAATATTTTGCAACTTGCAAACTATAATGAGCTGAATGTATTCACAACAGTTTCACAAGGTAGCTAAATACAAAGAGAGATTTTAAACAAATATTATTATAAAGCAAGGTAATTAAACCACATTCATAAATACACTTTAAAAAATGGCTTTTGCTGCTACTTATTTAAAATTGAAAACAGCATAATTCTTATGTTGTTTTTAAGCAACTTATTTGTTATGTTTATTCCCCTTAAATTTGTAAAAAAAAAAAAAAAAAAAAAAAAGATTAAGTTAACTTACTGTAATTTGTGTTGGGACAACATGCGTGGTTTATAATAGTATAACTTACAGCATCATATTTCAGTGAATTCAATATTTTTTACGTGATAAAATTATGTTTTTAAAATGTAAGACATTTTAAGCCTTTTTAAGACCCCATGGACACCCTGATTTTGTAGTTTCACAGTAAGGTTCACACAAGACTTTTGGGGTTCTTTAGATTATGGAAAATGTTTTGCAATTAACAGCAAACTGAAAGGTTCTTTAAAGAACCATGATTAGTTCTTATAACATCACTGACCTCTATTTTAATTGTAGCCCATCATGCAGTGCCTACCAGTAAAAAAATCGCTAAAAGCTTTTAATGACGCGGGTAAAACATTTAACCTTGAAAAAACCTTTACCTCGACTGACTTAAAATCTACATTTCGTCCATCATATCAAATGTGAAATCTGCATCAGATCCTATTGCTTAATAGCCATTCTGCTGGCAGTCAGTCAGCCCTTCTCATAGGTGGGCGGTCGGGCGGGTGATGGCGGGGCCGCGCGCGCGTGTGGCGGGTCATGCTCAGAATTAGGGCACGTGGCAAGTCTATTAGTCAAACAACCTCCATGTGCCGCGCGCCACGGCCAGAGGAAATTAGAGCAAAGAGCGATTTTTTGATGTTACGCTCTTTAAGAGATTAATAATCTTGGCGGTGGAGAATCGGCTGGAAATCTTCTCTGGAAAATAATGAGCGGAGAAACATTTACTGATTAGTTTAATCCAGGATTATCCTATCTGATGACACCATGAAACCCAGCCTTGTAATCTGGCCCTTAAAATAACATAATTTATTTCCTCCCTTTACCGCAAACGCATAAAAGTGTTGTTCGCTTCAGTTAGGCCTACTTAGCGCTACATGATTTCTATAGGATTGTTTGAGATCTTTCTGTTAAAGCGTTTGTTCCTAAAAAAACAAAGCAACGAGATCAACGATTGCAAATGTTCTTTTGCTAAAAATGCGCTTCTGAAACGTTTTCATAATTTAGCCTAATAATAATTAATTCTTTAAATTGCAATCTGCTGGTTGCTCAGCTGTCAATATATAGCCACACCATCAAAAAGTCCAATTAAATAAACAAATAAGTTCGCTTCAGACTCGGCAATAGTCTTGTTCACTTGTCATTTTCGATATCCTAATGTTAGTAGACAAACATATGTGAAATATTGGATGAAAATAAACTATATATATAAATACTGAAAACAAACAAAAAACAGTTCCGTTATAATGACTTTTTTGTTTGGGAAAATTTAAATTTTACTGCCTGTTCCTGGTTAATAATGCATAAATTATGAGTTAATAATTTGTTCTTATAGGCCTATATAGCAACTTTTAAAAACAAAAACATGATGACCATGATAATTATTATTTTACTGCAGACATAATAGCCTAATGATACAGACAGACAAACCGAGATAGATAGATAGATAGATAGATTGATAGATAGATAGATAGATAGATAGATAGATAGATAGATAGATAGATAGATAGATAGATAGATAGATAGATAGATAGATAGATAGATAGATAGATAGATAGATAGATGGATAGATGGATAGATAGATAGATTATTCTCCAGCTTGATCACTGATCTCTCAGTCTTTTTTCTCTGGTATGATCGCATTCATTTTTATTTAACGCTGTATTATACAGTTTTGAGGATTATTGTAGAGCAGCTCTCTTAACCGCCAGTTAAAATGCTGGAGGTTGTCCTGGTGGAAACGGGCCCTAAAAGCAGATTTTACAGAGTCGAGCTCTTTAAATGACAGATTAATGTTATAAACGAATTTAATGGACTTCATTTAATTATCTTGTGTAAGACGATTTCTCTAATTGCTTCTTTTAAAAACAGACTGGATGTGATGTTGCCTGTTTTTTTTTTCTTTTCTTTTTCATACTGCTTTATCATCTCGATCTGCTGACAGCATTTTAGCATAGGCAATACTGTAAGTTTGACCTCGTTTCCATGTTTCCATACTTAAAATTTATTTTTGGTATTGTAATTGTCTTTACTCAGGTTGTTTTAATTTTTTTTTTCGTTGCAATACCTGAATGGATGAAATAAAGCAGATTCTGATCGCGTTAATAGACAGTAATTATTTTTAGTCCGATATCAGTGGATTGCTAGATCTCAGTAAGGCGGGAGATTCATTTGTGAAATTAAAAAATATATTAATTGGTGATGAAATATATGCGTAAGGACAGGTGTCAGTCATAATAATAGTGCACTGTAAAAAATGCCGGATTCCACACAATTCATTCATGTTGTCCCAACACAAATTGACTGAGTTAACTTAACACTTTTAACAAATTTATGTGCATTGAACAGAAATAAAATTAAGTTGTTCCAATAAAATCTCAAGAATTGTGTTGCTCCAGCTCAATTAGTTTGAACGAGCAAAAACATTTTTTTGAGTGTAGGCCTTTTAAAAAGCAGAACTTTTATGTTTGTTAAAATATGCACAATGAAAATGTCTTCGTTAAAAGTTGATGTTTTAATAAATTCACTACTATAGGACAAAATAAGATACATTTCAACATAAATAAATGTAATATAATATAGAATGCAAATTAATTATAATTTGATTACCAATACAGGCTATTAAATTTATTCATTTGAAATAATTAATTATTATTATATTTATTACAATTATTATATTTACTTGATTAAACAAATTTATGTATTGATTTAAGGCTATAATTCTCAAGTTAAAACATGTCTATTATCAGTATAGCATACGCTTTTAAAAAGAGGCTAATTAGGCCTTTATTTAAATTAATAAAACTTTATATAGCCTAATTATAACACCACAGTATTAAATCGGTACATAAATAATTATTTTAATAGGCTATAGTTCTAAAATAATATAAACAATTGCTATTATTATTATTATTATTATTATTCACTAACAAAAGAATATGCTCGTTATATTGTTGGTTCAGTTGCTGTTGATTTGCGCGCAGTGTGCTTTTAAGGCAGCGAAGTCTTTTTTTTTTCAAATAGCGCAAAACACTGGATAAGCTTAAGCTATATTTTATTTTATTTACAGTCAAATAAAATGTCGCCTATATTTAGTCCAATGTACTTGACAATGACATATGGCTTTTAAATAGGCACAGGCTAGGATTTTATGATAAATGTATTTTTTGTGTTTATTTTATTCTTTTTATTCTCTGTCTCATTTATTTATTAACACATATTATGTCTATACGGCAATCGAACGAAATTACAAATAAAAAATCTAGTTGCTATTTATTTGAATTATTTTACACATTTCAACTGAAATGCCTATAAAAATCTGCAACAACAACCCACTTAACCCGCGGGGTTGGAGTGCATGCGCACATGAGTGAAATCTTTCATCTAAAGGGGAAAAACTACTTAGGACCAATTCAAACAGGGTAGGAAAATCCTTATCGGATTAAAGGGAAAATTGGTGGCAATTAATCCTTTGTGATTGAAAAAGGGAAACGCCTCCTCATGGTAGACATATCTGTCGTTGAATCTGATTGGACAGTGGGATGATCTGCTGGTTTGGACAGGGGGATAAATGGTCCCGGCGGAGCGCGTAACCGTCCACCAGTCTGAGAGAGAAAGTGAATTAAAGAAACTGCCACCATGACGGGAAGAGAAGAAGCTACAGATGAAAAACCTAAAGTTAAACTTTACCCTTCGTTCGGAATCGACAAATCACGTCTGAATGGATCTGGATTTCGGTCCAAAGGGTTCGCAATCACAGATCTCCTGGGTCTGGAGTCGGAACTTCAGCCGCACCAGTCAGGAACAGGCGCGGGGCCCAATGGAGAGGGCCAGAGCGCGGCGGTTGGAGGATTTTCTTTCCCGGGAGGATCTTTGCCCTTGGGCTTGGGGTTTCTGTGTAGTTTGGCGGCGCAACAGCCTCCTGGGGCCCCATGTTTTCTCCCGAGCCACATCCCTCTGTTGCAGTCACGGACGGAGAGCCACTTCATGCAGAATCTGGAGCAGCAAAGGGACGTTTACTCCGGTACGAATCACTTTGCTTGTCGTGATTGAAGTGAAGAGCTGTTCACAGATGATAGTGCTGAAACTGCCATTGAAATTAAGTTTCTTTATTTGCACAGGAAACTTTGAAATGAATTAATTGGTGGTAATTTAGGTGATGTGAATAAAAACTAGCCTACTTTAGATTTTTTTTTGACAGTTCGAAGAGTTTTAACTTTTAGTAGGGACTAGGTTGTTTAACTTTCTTTAAACGCATTGTTAAAAGACATATCCTTCAATTGGAAATTGAATTTCTAATAATAAAAATCCACATTAAAGGTGCACTTAGAAATAATTAAATACTATTTTATTAACTCATTTAAACCAAGCAACCTTAATTTGTTATTATTATTAAATAATTTGTTATTATATTAAATTCTACTATAATTTTTATAATATATTAATACACTTAAAACAAATAAACAACTTTCATTGAAGAATTCTAGCTATATAAAAATATATAGGCTACTTTTGTTGATTCAGATTCTCATCATTATTTTACTTGAATAAAATATTACTTGAAATTGCTCTCATTCATTTTGATGCATGTCAAGAATTCTTATTTTTTATTAACAAAATTGTTTTCAATACAGATGATGACTGCCTTTCCGGTGATCGCAATGATGGAAAAAACTCAGGGAACTCTCAAAAGAGGAAAAAGAGAAGGCACAGGTATGTGAATGAACTCAAATGTTGCATTAAGTCAGATGTTATACATATCTGTTCATCCGTTTGACCAATTTCTTATCTCGTTGTGATTTTCAGGACAGTTTTCACCTCCCATCAACTTGAGGAACTAGAGAAAGCTTTCAATGAAGCACACTATCCAGACGTTTACGCGAGAGAAATGCTGGCAATGAAGACAGAGCTACCAGAGGACAGGATACAGGTATAGGAAATGTTCCACATTTTTTATTCTCCTCCATCTCTGTTTCTTGATCCCAAATATCTAATGCACATATGTTTTGGCCTAGGTATGGTTTCAAAACCGGCGTGCAAAGTGGAGGAAGAGGGAAAAGTGCTGGGGCCGTAGCAGCGTGATGGCAGAGTATGGGCTGTATGGAGCCATGGTGCGCCACTCCATTCCACTCCCAGAATCCATCATCAACTCTGCCAAGAGCGGGATGATGGGCTCATGCGCTCCCTGGCTTCTAGGTGAGCCAGCAGGTGGTTTTCCTATTTAGTACTCAAAGACTCAAATATGTATTCGATCACTTGGATACATAGCTGAGGTGTCTTGTGAATGTGTCTGGTGTTGTCCATAATACATTTAAACACTGTAAATTACTTTTTTGAAGTAAGTTTCAGACTTTTACTTCATAATGATATGTTTAAGTGAATTATTCTTTGTGATTAATTGTGAAATTTGCTTATATTAGTTTCTGTGTGAATTTCTTTTAGTAAATTATATTTATTTTAAATGAAAAGCTATTAATATCCAGCATCCTAAGATCAACTTTTAATCATATCTGCATTTTATTCTAACAGGAATGCACAAAAAGTCTATGGAAATTGTGAAGAAAGCTCCTGGCACGCCTGAATCGACACATTCAGATACATATTCAGAGGAACACAAAGGGAAAGACAGCGACACGACATGGTCAAGCGGAGCTAATGGAGCGGACGATTCAGAGGACATGGCAATAGATCTGTCTAGCACTTCAAAACAAGAGAACAAAAGCACTTTGAAAAGATCTCCGCCTCGCACAGAAAACAGCAGCGATTCTGAAAATGAGAGTTAAAAATGGACCTCAATATATGGACAGTTTTGAAGAGCACGTGCTGTACAAGGACTATCAGTTAATAGGATGTCTCACCTTTTGTTTGTTTGCATTTCTGTGTCATTTAAGGGTTTTTATGTTGTTGCTTATCAAATAATTGAATACTAGAGACTGTTTTATTCTGAATTATTTTATGTTTAATGTAAATAGTGTTTAAAAAGTTTGCATTTATGGGCATTATCCATCTAATTTTAAGTAAGTTCCCATATTTAATTTTTTTTCTGTCAAAAAATGCTGTAAGGTGATTACTTGTTCACCGCTACTGTGAATGTCATATTTCCCTGTTAAAATACAGCATGTGTCTGGGTAACGGAAATTATTTTAAAGCACTTTACCTGCTGTGATGATGAATGTTTTGCATTGATAAGTGTCATCAACAGAGCAATATAATGCCAGCAAAAAAAGAAATCCACATCACCACACACACAAAAAATAATAACTAAATAAACATATTTTATGCTTTTGATTTGCTGTCTGGTTTCTTCATTCTTTCAGTGCACCACAAATAATCGTAATAATCATAAAGTCATAGAAAATTACCTTGACTTGCCACAGCCAATTGCAATTTCAACATTCTGGCCAAACGTCCTGCTGTCAAGGATTTACGAAAGTTATGATGAAGGCTTGCTGACCTGTTTAATGGTCAGTTAACACTACTACCATCTGGAAAAAATGAAAGTGCATTCAAGCCAAAAAATAGGTTAAGCAGACTATTTCCCAGAAATGATCAGACCCAACAGCCCAGTCATATTTAATTCATATCGGCCTGTTTTTATTTGAACAACCTTTAATTTATTTAATCTCTGCTGACAGATATATTTACAGTAGATGTCTTGTGCTTTTAGTCACTTTCTAATTATGATCAGTGGAAACTCATAAAATTGTTATGTTTTCATATTTAGCTGAAAATACTTTCATATCCAGTTGTTTAATATAAAGGTTTAGCTGTAAGCCCTAATAATACATTGATATTCTGTCTTATCATAGAATATACTGTACATTTATTTTTCTTCAGTTTAGTCCCTTAGTCACCACAATGGAATGAACCACCAACTTATCCAGCATATACTACACAGCGGATGCCCTTCCAGCTGCAACCCAGTACTGGGAAACACCCATACTGTAAAATATTTGACCTCAAATTTACAGTAAATTACTGGCTAATAATTGCATTACTTTCACAGTAAGGAATTGTATGTAAATTCACAGCATATTACTGTGAGGTACTTAATAATAACAATAATTCTTTAAATATTTCTAAACAACAAAAAAGTGCCTGTACTAGCATAAAAGTAAATGTGTATTAATTTCTATGCTGAATAAAATATTAAGTGTTTGAGTTCCTATAACTAACATGCAAAAGATATAGCCCCTTTTACAGTAATTTGCTGTAATCATGATGCTTGCCTTAATTTCACAATAAAATCCTGAAAACATCAAATTAAATCCTGTAAAGTGACACTAATGTAATTTACTGTGTAAAATGACAGTAACATGTTGTGGAATTGTGGGCAATTTTGTTTATTCAATTCACCTTTACCGCATGTCTTTGGACTTTTGGGAGGAAACCGGAGCACCCAGAGGAAACCCTCGCAAACACGAGGAGAACATGCAAACTCCACACAGAAATGCCAACTGACCCAGCCGAGACTTGAACCAGTGACCTTCTTGCTGTGAGGTGACAGTGCTAACCACTGAGCCACTGTGTCGCCCTAAAAATAAATATACACTGTAACCCAAATGTCATTGTTTAATAACAACTATTTACAAATAAACAATTTTAAGATAATGCAAATCATTCATTAATTTATTTTATTTGTCGGCTTAGTCTCTTTATTAATCTGGGTCGCCACAGCGGAATGAACCGCCAACTTATCCAGCACATTTTTACGCAGCGGATGCCTTTCCAGCCGCAACCCATCTCCGGGAGATAATGCAAATTATGGCAAAAATATAATGCTAAAAGTTGTTGTTGTTGTTGTATTGGTATTTTTTGTAACCTTTGTTGAATATTATGTAGTAATTTGGTAATGGGTGTATAAGCAATTTTATAGTATCTATATTTTTTTCTTCCAAAGGTAATCTCAATAATATGACATTAGGAAAGTAATTGTTTTGTTAGGGCTTTAAAGAGAATAATAAAAAACAGATTAGCAGAGGAGAGGGGCACAAAAACAGAGATTAAAAACACTTCAGCCTAAGACGAGCTCAGGACCTACTGAACGAATTAAATCTATTAAAATATTATCAATCACTGCTGATCCCAATAATCTTTCATACCAAATACCCATAACAAAATAACAATTTCAGATGATGGGTCCTTTTTAAACAATTATGTACAGGGTTAGACAAGAAGATAATCCTGCCTATTGTTGGAAATGGCCATTAATGAAAAACAAAATTAAATAACCTGGTTATAGGGCATACAGAAGAAGAGTTACATAAAAGCGCCATTTGACTTATGATGACAAGGTTGTTGCTTGGCGTTTTTCTTTCTAATGGTAGCCCACATTACTTTCAAGGGATTTTAAACAATTTGGAAAGTGCTGCATCATCTGACATTGTTGTAGACAGCACACCAACCAGCATCCAGAGCCCCATAATGTAAAGTACTAATAATAACAACAGTGTTGCAAAAGCATTAAAACAAAATCAAATAAATTATATCCCAATTCAACATCTGTTCTGATTATAGGCTTAAACTTAACCCCACAAAGGACACTGTGTATGGAGCCAAGTTTTAAAAAATTAGCCATGTTTGTTGTACTCTCTCTCTTTCTGTGTGTCCGTGTTATGAGGAAAAGGACAGATTGGCACAGACCAAAGCTGTGATGATTATGATAATGATAAAGAGAAAATATTATGTCCACTGCTAATTTGTAAGTAGCTTAGCAGTGCAGAGAGCTCCAAACATACAGATGTGCATTTGGCACACAGCAGTCCTTTGGCAAAAGCCCTGTGGAATCACATATCTGAACAAAGCTGATTTGGTTCAACGTGGTGGAGCTGACAAGGTTTTTCGAAACGAGACCATTTGGGATATTAAATAAAACATGAGAGCTACCTCAACTGGTAAACAAACACTAAACCTCTATTACAATAACAACCGCTGGTGTAATAGTATGACAACAGTCTGTCTAATGTAAAAGAAAATAACTTTTAATAACAATACAAATCTTACCTTATGATTGACAGCAAGTTTAAGATCTTTTTTTGAAGTTACTCTGCTAGTCAGCTAGCATCACTGGAATTTTAAAGTATTTTAGTCAAATATAAAATTGGATAAAATATGTGACATCCTTTGACATTCTTTCGTGAGACTGGAACCGCAGACTTATAAATAATAATGATTTTACTGTACAATTTTGTACATTACGGATCCGCAATCTAAAGCTAATGTTGAGCTACACAATGTCTACATGATTATGATGCAATAAGGGTGAACATATTTGATCGTATGCTTCCATCTGGTGGCCAAATGAAATAAGAATAAAGGCCATAGGCTATGGCATGCAAACTTTTTAGTAAGCTTACTTAGGTCTTGCTTGAATGTTTTGTTGTGCCCCCTTTGAAAACATTCCTCTGAGATTTTGATCCATTATCACACAATTCGATTTATCAAAAGCACATAATGATGATGTGAATCTGCAATTTCCAGCTTATCCCAAATCTGTTCCAACGTTGGATTGAGATCTGAGAAGAAACTCTCTATCATCTGTCATGTTCAAGAAAGCTTTTTGACAAGTCACATTATCCTGAATTAATCATTAAATGGGTCACCAATTTAGACATTGACGTCAGCTTTTTCGATAATACATTGGTAAAACATGCTTTAGTGAATAAAATTTATGGATGTATTTAAATTACATCTAATTTATTAATACAATGTATACGTTTTCAGTGTTTGAAGGGATATTATTTAGTGACTATTTTAGGGGTTACTGTAGGTCAAACTATTAAAATTGTGTGTCTATTCTTTCCTTTTATTATGCTACATGCGATATAAACACCTATTTTACAGGAAACGTGTTTTGTAAATACTAAGATTAAGAATACTTAAGATACTTACTAAAACTGCCAGACTGTTGAATGATATTTTTTATTGATTGTTGTGATCATGCATTTACAATGGTGTGAACCATTATGGAGGGTTATATTATACATTTTTAATTATTAATATTTAAGATGTTGATCAAAGATCAGAGAAAGCCATTTCTTACTATTAAGTCGCTGACCCACCATACATCCTATTTTGATGTCCTTTAGGGGGGATCAAGCATTAATTGGGTGGGTGGGGGGGTGGTGGGGTAATTTGCACCATAACCTGTAGTAATATACTATTGTTAATGCCAGTAGCAGCCATGCACAATCACACATTTAATGTTTGAATTATGCTCAGGTGGTACTCAAGGCCCCAAAACAAGCAACAAATATATCTTTCCTAGACCACCAACACCAGAAGATTGAACCATTGATACAAAGCATGATGAATACTTTTCTCTACTGTTGTTTATGCCAAATTCTGACCCTATGATCTAAATACAACGCAGAAGAAATTGAGACTTCTCAGGAAAGACAGCATTTTTTCAATTTTCTATTGTCTGTGTGAACTCTAGACTCAGTTTGCTGTTCAAAGTGTTGTGTCAGAGATGCTCTTCTGCAAACCTCAGTTGTAATAAGAGGTTATTTCCTGGTAGTATTGCCATTCTATTAAGTGGCAAGTCTCTTCTGACCTCTGAAATCAAGATTTTTGTCCATGTTTTTTTTTACTATTATTTAGAAAATTGTAAGAAAGTCTCAGCAGTTCAGAAATTCCCTAAATACTTAAGACTTTGATCATTTTGATATTGATAATAAAGAAACTATGAATTGTATTTATTCATTCAATTCTTTTCGGCTTAGTCCCTTTATTAATCTGGGGTCACCACAGTGGAATGAACCACCAACTTATCCAACATATGTTTTTATGCAGCAGATGCCCTTCCAGTTGCAACTCACCACTGGAAAACATCCATATACACTCATTCACACACATATACAACAGACAATTTAGCTTACCCAATTCACCTATAGCACATGTAAATACACACTCAGACAACAAAACAAAATGGATACATTTAACCTAACCAACCTATGTACAATTTCCACATGAAAAACAATACGGTTTAAATTTAACTCTAAGCTAACAATTAGCCTGCCTGAATTACATAGTCTACATGAATGTATATCTGCATAAACAAGACAGACAAGCGATATGAAAGCTACAGAAGCAAGGCTCCATAAACAATCAGATTATTTCCTGCAAGTAAACATGTAATTCACACAGCAGTGAAGTGGAGTTCATCGCAGAGGATGCAGGCAGTAATTCTGTCTGATATGTTGTTTACTGGGATTAGCTCTAATTTGCGATTAGCACACAGAACATCTGCATGCTGCATCAGAAATGAATTACAGTAATCCCTCAGC